TGGAAAGTGCTTTGAGGTTTGCTGACAACAATTGTTACCTTAGAGCTGTGTTTTATTACTCTTATTAATAGAAGATGTATTAATCCGTCTTGTGTAAGTTAAAAAAGACCAAGTTATTTTCTTCACATAGGTTTTAAGGTATTTTGAGAATAGGAAACTTTCTAGGGTTCAGAATTGCAATGGGGTCTGAGTTTTCAGCTGGTTTTATTATCTTGGAAGGACATTTGTGTTGTATGTAAGGTAGCTTTAGGAATGCCTGTTGAAGTATTGCTCCTGCATTAGTGCAGAACCCATTTTGATTTAGTTTTACTTTTTATCTGCAGCAAAAGTTTAAATTTCAGTTTGTAGCCCATGCAGTCAGACTGTGGATTGAAAGTCCCATAGTTCTGAGTTTGGTTTTTTTTTTCTTGTTTGTTTGTTTGTTTGTTATAAAGAAAGCCGCCTACTTTTGTGACTGTCACTTTAGTTTTCAGGTCATCATAAATATTGCTCTGTGTGTTTCCCTAGAAAGTAGAGAATAGATTTACAAATGAAAGCCTCCTACTTTCCTGCAACATGCAGTGATATTTCATACAGGTGGGGCATGGAACAATGTAGAAGAGGTTGATGGCAAATCATTTAACCATTACCTTTTTAACTGGAGGTACCAAGGATCCATTTAAGAGAAAGCACAGATATTTACCCTCAAATGTCAACTGCTTCTCTGTATTTCAGTTCTGAGCTACCACATTTGTCTCCCTGTTCTCTGCCGCCACTAGGTGTGACTTTTTTTCCCCTCTCTTGGTGTAAATGGGCCTACTAAGAAGAAAAGAAAATGTTGATGTTTTGCTGACTTTTCTAGGTAATAAAGGTATTTCCTTTGTCTCAAGATTTAATTAATATAGTAGAAAGTCCTTAAGGTAAAGGACTACTTTGGTTCATGCAGTTCCTACTGTTATCGTATCTTGGTGTCTAACAAGTACATAATAATATTTGTCCTAATAGCAGGGCCTTCTGGCTGCCTCCTAAGCAAATGGGAATATCATTTTACAAACATAGTGTTGAAATGTAAAGGACATAAATTAAACCACTTTGTATTTATAGGAATATTTAATAGCCTGCATCCAAAGTTCAAAAGTATTTAGGCAGTAGCACTTGAAACCACAAAAAAAAAAAAGTAGTGAGCAGACCACAACTCTTCTGATCCCACAGTGTACTGGTGATGACCAAGTCACAAGGTGTTTTGTATATTGGTCTGTGCTGATCTTGGTTGTCTGGCAGCCAAGTGGAGGTTTGATTTACAGCATGACTGCCAGGCTCCTAGCCTTTACTCCTCCAACTGTGTATTTCTTCTTGTCCATGGCATTAACTCCTGTCTATTCATGGTTATCCAAGTTTGAGATAGCAGAAAAATAACTTATTTTGTAATGCTAATTTTCTGTTGATTTAGCTGTCTGCAGTGACTCCCCTGGGCTCAAGCAAATGCCAAAGTTGATACAAAGGAAAACCCACCCTTCTGTCCTGAGGAGAGGGTTTAAACTGGATCAGCAAGCTAATCTGACTCATTCCTAGCCACACAGGCACTTGTGTTGGTACAATGGAGGGAAAGAGCTGGATTACGTTTTGGAAATGAACAGTCTGTTTTTATTAGCAGCCAAGTGTTAAATCTGCTTGAGCCGTACTGAAACCATACCCCCCGGCTGTGCACTTCATTCAATGGCTGCCCCAGTGGTCTGTTCAACACTTGCCTTGGAAATTGGTTTGGTCCAGGTGATGGTGTCTTTCCTGGTGGTCTATGCATGCCCTCATGTATTTTCTGAGAAACACAGTTGTGCACAGAAAGTGCCTGATTTGCCATCGGGATGGAAGTTCTGTTTGGATTTGCTTATGCTGAAGCCTTGTGGGGGACAAATCCTGTGAGCAGGAGTGGATTGCTGAGGTGGCTCCAGCAGTCTGCCTGCATGTGTTTGTGACCTCCGTCAGAGTAACTGGAAGTGATATCAAAAGCTTAATAAAATTAAATGCATAGTAGCTTCTCTAAGAACAGATGTTTATTAATAGTTCAGATAATAAGCATTTTTATATGCTCTGATAAGCGCTCTGTCAAGCACCAGTGAACTCTTTAACAGAGGAGCTCCAAGAAGGAAGTACTGCCACAGGATGGATAAGCTGACCTACAGCAAAACTAAGCACTGATGGGCGGGACATGGTGAGCACCAACTCATTGACTGCCAACTCAAGAAACCCTCTGACCCAAAGAGAAGTAGAGATTGAGTATGCAGACTAAATAACATAAGTGAGAGAGTTGCTTAACAAACTGGAAACTGACTACCAAATAACTCAGTTTATGTGACTTGTAATCAATGAAGGCTGATGATGGTTTTGCTTTCTAAAATGTATAAATAGCATAAATTTTGACAGCTGGAGAGCTAGGCATTTGTAGGCTACCACCAAGCTTCCTACTTTGTGCAAACTAGAATAAAAGAGTAGGAATACCTTGACTTGGTGTATGAATTGGCAGTGCCCATTGGGTGCCTGCATTTGGGGTGACAGAAGTGTTTAAACAGCCTGAGTATTCACTCAGGGTTCTGCCAGGGGTGGTCACAGTGGGAGGCTATTAGTGTAATCTGAAAAAGGTATCTCAAAAGTACCCTAGATGTGCTTGGAAAGAGTAGTTATTCTCCCCACATCCAGAAAATCTGTGTCTTCTTGAGAGAATAACTCTAATCAGTAGTATTTTTGGTCTCCTGCTATACCTCTTCCTGTGCAAGCTAATAGCAGTTCACAGTATGTAGTGGTGAGGAGAGCAATGTCCAGGGAGAGACACATTATCTTGTGTTCAGGACTTGGAGTGAGAAATCTAAGACTGTGGGTGACATGGGAATTACTTTCATTCTGTGTCTGCTTGCTTGAAGAAGTTTTGTGACTACCTCTGGGTTCGTGTAGGTCAGACTGTGACAGCCATGCAGTCCTGTTCTCCTAGATCTTTCTTTAGCAGAGGCTATTTAATAACTGTAACATGCCCTGCGTAGTCACATGGAGCTGTTGAGGAAGCTACTGCTGCTAGGTTTGTTTCCAGTGGGTAGTGGTAACCAAAGAATTGATGGACCAAGCATATTTTTTTCCTCCCTGTTGCAAGCAGATGTCCTTTTGAACAGAGCTGCAGGTCAGTTCCTAACTTACCACAGTAGATGCAGTTCATTTTGGAGCAGGTTTTTAGGTCTGTCTGGTTTTGTGGACACTTGATGAGAGGCGTGTGGAAGTTCTCCCCGTCTCCCTTGCTCTAGAAGTGATTCTGAGACCCAGGCAGCAGGGTAAGGAGGCTGGAAAACAAGCAAGCATTTGCACTTGCATGGAAACCACTGGGCCTGGGAGAGAGAGAACCACCAGGATGGCTTGGAGAGAGCTGGACCCTGGGGAGTGGCATGTGAGCAGTTGGTCTCATGGCAGCAGCTCTCTGGGGATACAGAAGGTGGTGAAGAAAAGAGGCTGGGCGCAGAAAGCAGCGGGTGATGTGTGTGAGCCAGGAACCTGAGGTGGGTGCTTGTGCTCACTCTGCTGTCACTTCAAATTTGGTAAAATATGCTGGGCACTAACTCTTCCCTAGGGATCCAAGGCATCCATTTCCACCATTCCCTAGGGCTTGTTGGGATTTCTGTCCTCTGTTTCAGGAAATGTGTGAAAGCAATTCTGTTGTAGCTATGAGGAGCATCTGTTTTCAAAAGTAACCATGTCTTAAACCCATATTGCAAAGCAAATCTTCCACTTAGGTGGGTATACATTTAGGACTCTGGCCTCAGTCAGGCTCCACTTCATAGGTAAGGGACCTTCCTTGTGAAACATAGGCTGTTGCACCTGTGCACATTTGATTTTTCTTTTCTATTTTTATATAGATGAGTACATGAGTATTTATAAAGGAATAATAGTAATTTGTTTAATATCTCTTGTTAATGAAAAGCTTGCTTGCTGAATGTTTTCACTGAAAGCTCTAATAGTGAATTCCAGGTGTAATAAAAAAACTGTTTCCTTTGTGTTGTTAATGTTTTTGGTAGTGGTCATTTAATGTTTACATCTGGACTTAAAAAGTAAACTAGTAGAGGCTAATTTCAGATACAGTTAACTTTGTATATTATGGGCTTTGTTATATTGGCTTGAGTTAGGTTTTATAATGAAAGTATGAGGCAATACATGAGGATACTTTTGTCCAGTAAAGCCTAACCTTATAAATAACCTTTTTATCCTTTCTATGAATGTTAACAAATCAGTTTCTTTTTGCAAGATTTGCTGATAAGAAAAATCTAATGTATGTTCCTGTAACTATAAATTGTGTGGTTTATTCCCTCCCCCCCTCTTTGAGTTAGGTTTTGTTTAAATAGTACGTGTGAAATGGAAATGGAGAAATGGGGCTTACCTCAAGCAGCAGATAGTCCACTGAGTCTTTTCTGGAAAAGTTTGTCTGTGTAAGAGCTAAGTAATTTTGTAAATAATAATGTTTGCAGACAAGCAACAGGTACAAAATATTTTAAATATGAATTGCTAGCACAGGTTTTTAAGACTTCTTTCTGGAATGAACTGTAAAGAAAACCTCAGTATATAGTAGAGCAAAGTCGATCAATGTAATGATTACTATTTCATATAGTCTTTTTATAAAGTTTCCAGGAGTATTTATTAGGCTGAAATGCATTCTTTGAGTAGCTTGGTACACAAAGATAGGTATGTGTTTTCCACCCCAGATGGCAGAACCAGAGTTACACTTAAAGACAGTGGGGAGTTAGTCAAGGAGGCGAGAAGCATGAGCTTCTGAATTTAACTATTGCTCTTCCAACTACCTTGATTATCCTGGACTTGAATATGAGCCACGACTGTATTGTGTGTTACAGTTGGTCTTATTTTAACTTGAATGTAGTGGGCCTAGACGCTGAAATGATAGAGTGAAGTATTAGATGAGTAAAAGGTTTTATTTATTTACTGTAAAAGACAAGAGAAAGAATGGAGGATGTGTTTTATAATTGCAACGTTTAATGGGGATTTTCCATCTTTCAAATTTCATGCAGTTGCCTGGGACAGCTCCTGTTGAGGAAACTGAGCCAGGAACAGCTGGTATCAACTGTTGCACCTGTACCTGCCACAATGAGAAGTTGCATAAGGTTTCTTTTTCTTGTTAATTCATGCTTTTGTTGTAGTGATTATTATAAGAAGGTCAGTTAGTAAACACATTCCTTTAAGGATTTTTTTTTTTTCCTCATTTAACAAAAGTTTTCTTCTAAAACTAAAGGTAGTAACAGTATTAGTATAAGTATTGTATCCGGCCAAATCCCTGATTATGTGTTAAGTGGAATGGGTCCTGAAAACTGCCGGTTTACTTCTCCAGACTTTATGAATGAGCGTGCTGGTTGCTGCTTCTCTTTGATGTTGTAAAAAGTGAATAATTTTACCTTGTGGTCTTAGTCTGTCGCATTTGACTGCTTCATGAAAGAGAATTACATGTAAACTGAACAGCTGCTGTATGTGTGCAGAAACATTTGCTTGCACAGTTTTTCTGTAAGTTGTATTGCGTAAGTTAGCAGCTCTTGCCTCCAGGATTTAACCTGCCAACCTTTTATGCATTGCTGGTTGGGATTTGAACACCAATTCTGCAAACCCCAGAGGGATTATGTGAAACCAGAATGGATGCATGTTCTGTAGGAACCTCAGTATTTGCAGTGACTTTGTTGCAGTGTCATAGTCTAATAGTTACAAAAATGGGTTGGGATCTGTTGTCCTCTGCTTGCCATTTCCTGCCCCAGAATAAGGGGCTTACTTTCTTTTTATGGTTGAAAGCAGTCATGGACTTCCAGAATTAGTGAGGTGACCACAAATTGTATTTCCTTGAAATTTTAATTCCCACAATAGTATTTCACCAAGTCTTTCAGAGTTTTGTGGGTTTTCTTTTTTGTTTTTTTGCTTGATACTTTTTAAAAGGCAGAATTTTAAACAGCAAATAGTGCACCCCTTTCAAACTTGCTACAATCTTGAAAATTTCCCTAAAACCTTCAATTTTCTGATTAGTTCTGCAAATTTATTAATATTTATTTTCATTTTGAGCTTTTAAAGTACCATACACTAAAAGTTCAAAATAACATTTGTAGAGAAAAATGTGTGTAGAAACACTTTATCTTAATAAAAAAAAATTTGTTTTACGATGTCCTTAAAACTGGGATTTTCTTGAAGCTTAATTGACCCTTTACTTAAAACAAACAAACAGCCCTAAAAAACAACAACCAAAACCTTCAAAACTGGCTGTCATATTCAGCTGTGTTGGTTTTGCTTGCAGGAAAGGATAATTGTCTTACTGCCAGCATTCCAGTGTCAAGTTAGGGGGAAGTTTTGCTTCTATATTGCCACCAAGGAACTTCCTTTGTGCTGTGGTTCAGCTCTCCTTAGAGCCATCAACCTACAAAGACACTGGAGTGCATCCTTCTAATGAAAATACTAGGATACACTTTTCATGCTTGTTCAAAAAGGATTGTACTTTTCCCGATTACAGTAGTAATTACAGTGTTAATTACAGTGAGTTACAAGCATAGATGGTCTGTAAATATCAGTTTGAAATCAATTGCCAAATTGTTAGGCACTGGCACAGGCATACTCTTGCCAAAGTTTGGTACCTCCTAGTTACAAGATTTTAAAGCAAGAAAAATGGAGGCTTAATTGGCCTTTAAGGCAAGAAACTGTATTTGCAAATGACACTTTTATCATAAAAAGAAAAATCAGTTTAAGTGGAAAAATATTTTTGTGTTACTTTTTAAAAGGAACTGTGTGAAATAGATGACTTTCAGTAGCCTCACTTTACTGAAGCAGAAAGTGAAATAATTAGCAATTTATTCAGTAACAGATATATATCAGAGTAGAGTTCTAGAGCTTGATGCATACTTTTCTAAGCCAGAGTGACATTCCAAAATATTTCCCCTTACTCTGTGTTGGAGTGTTCCTTAGACCCTTTCTAGTGATACAGCCTTTATGAAACAGTGGACATAGCATAATTATGATCAGCAATTTGGAGCAAGCGCTTCCACCCTGGTGTTCTGTGGGAGGCTTCAGGTAAGCCAGAATAGAGGGCTTGACATGAGACCTTGGTGTGGTTGTGTTAGAAATGGTGGGGAAGCTTGCCCTTTCCTTCTGAGGTAGGAACAACTTCTGTTGGGATAGCTGCAAAATCAAATGAGAAGCTGCTATTCTAGAAGGGCTCAGTGCCTCTCAAAAGTTATGAAACCCAGAGGGAGTACTTTTGAACAGGCTCCACTGTTCGTCAGATAGGGAATTTCTTTGGAGAAAGTTTTCCAAAACGTATTAAATCAGTTGCCTTAATTTTTGCTTGTAACAGTGTTTGGTTAAATTATTTTTTACTTGGCAGGCACAGAGAAGTTTTTCAGCTTTATAAAGAGAAAAAAGTGCCCCCACCCCTGAATCTGGCCAGACAAAATTATAGTACAGCTTTCTGAAAAATGGGTAAAATTTTGTTGCTTGAACTCTGGATTCAGCTTTAAAATATTATGTTCTATGCTATCAACAACAGCATAATTTTTCTGACTGCGGTAACTTACTGCCTCGCACAGGATTATTTCCATTAAGCATCTTTCAGTGACAGCTGAAGAACACAAGTCTCTTCAAATGATTACTGAATTTGCCCTTTAGCCTATTTAAGTGTTTTTTTGTTGTTGTTTTTTTGTTTGTTTTAAATTTGTCATAGCTTTTTGTCTTTGTGAAAATTAAATTATAAACACTTCCCTTCTTTGTTAAAGTTTTAAATCCGTTTTACCCTCCTGCTGTTTGATCCAGTAAGCCTTCACTGTGAAGAGCTCTTACGCTTTATTTGAATACATGTCCCTGGGTGCTTTACAGAGTAGACTCTGATGTCACTTGGTTCCTTCAAACTGCCTCTAACAATGTAAGGTTATTGATGAGGTTACAGCAGTTTGTTAGAGAAGAAGTTGGTGGTAAAATCATTTTGGAGTTTAAAAAAATTCTGTACTTTAGGGAGAGATAGAATTAATTCCATTCTACAAATGAAGGATATTGGATTGATCAGTTCCCAAAAGGATTTACAAATCCAAGATCCATAAAGCAAGGTTTCTTTTCATTGCTATTGAAGGATCTTTTAAATAATTTAAACATTACTTTTTCAACTAAAATTTCTTTTCATTAGGGTTTTCAAAGAGTCATTGGATGTAAGGCATCAGTAAAGAAGAATATGGTATTGCCATTGTATCTTACAAATAAAAATTTACTTAATTTAGAAAGAATTATCAAAGTTAACGCATCTCTCGTCATTATTAGTTGCTTGGTTTATGGTATTGCTTTTCATACAATTGCATCATAGTGATATGATAATAATAGGACATGGGGTAATGGCTCTAAACTGAAGAGGGTAGATATTAGATAAGATATTAGGAAGAAAGTCTTTTGAGGGTGGTTGGTGGGGCAGTGAAACAGGTTTTCCAGAGAAGTTGTGGATGCTCCCATCCCTGGCAGTGTTCAAGGCCAGGTTGGAGAGGGCATCTTGGTCTAGTGGAAGCTGTCCCTGCCCATAGTAGGGGGATTGGACCAGGTGATCTTTCAGTTCCTTTCCAACCTGTTCTATGAGTGTACAGTTCTATGACAGGAGGAACAACTCATCCATTCCCATTTAGAAGGCTGCAATACCTACTCATACTGGCATTTCTTTGGACACTGCACAACATAAATACAGAACCACAAACATAGAAATGACGTGATTGGCATACATTTATCTGAAAATGTTGTCTGATTATACAATTTAAAAGATTCTTTCCATCCACATCAGAATACCTATGTGCATATCTTCACTAGCAGTCTTTTTGACATTTGACTGTAAATCATCAACCTTCATACAGCTGTAAGAACACAAGTAATGCTACCACTCTGTACATGAGAACCCAAACCAGTGTGTTGAAATACATTTCCAAAGATCATACAGACTGGGGCACCTACATGAGAGAAGGAAACACTAACCTTCCTCCATGAAGGCCTGTATGTGACAGAACTTTGCTGTTTTTTTTGTCCCTAGGGACTTCTGATCTGTCCTACACTTCTAGCCCAAGTAGCAATATGCAGTGGGCATGCTTATTATGTAAATACATGACAAAAAGTTAACTAGTACTTAGTAAATACTGGAAAATAGCTTGGAAATATTCCCAAAATCCTAGCAACAGCACTATGAAGAGAACAGTAACTTTTTCCAAGATCCCTATGATGCCAGGATATTCAATTCAACTTTTTTTTGGTAAGCATTTATCCTGTCAAACACTGCAGTGATGTAACTTTCTAATGTATTCTGCTGTGGAGTCAAGAAATTATGCTATCTATCTAAAAGATTTTTTTTAAAAATCAAAATAATCAAAATTTTTATGGAAAACAAGGACACTTGTTATAGTGGCTGACTATGAATTTCTGCAGTGGTGAGCCAGCAGTTATAAATATTAGTGTTCTGCTCATAAAAGCAGAATGAACTGTAAATGCAATTTACACTTCACTCAGGTAACTTCTCAAGTGTGTTACCGTAGACTCAGAAAAGTTTGGGTTGGAAGAGACCTTAAAGATCTTCTGTCAGTGCCTTGTTTCATTATGTTAAGACTGCCAGCCTAATTTCTGCATGAAAAGACCTCTTCAGATACTGGTTGTAAGAATACATTTGAAAATAAGCCACCTGCCAACAGCTGACATTCTCTCTTCTCTTTTCAGATCTTTTCAGATACCTGTCTAATTGGTCCATGTTTCTGAATTCTTCCTTGTAACCTTCGCAAGCAGACAAAATGAAGTTGAAGCATAACATCAACCCTATTCTTCTACAGTTTATAAACTTTGTAATTTTGGTGTACACCTTTGTAACATACATTCCGTGGTACATATTTTCAGGGTCAAGGCAGGCTATAGCAAAAGCCAAGCAGGTTAAAGCTAAACCTGTGAATAACAAGCCTGGGGCTGCGTACAGATCTGTTAACAGTCTACATTGCTTAGCTTCAGTTTTATATCCTGGGTGTGATACACTTGACAAAGTTTTTAAATATGCCAAAACTAAATTTAAGGACAGAAAGCTCTTGGGAACACGTGAGATCCTAAAAGAGGAAGATGAAATCCAGCCATCAGGAAAAGTTTTTAAAAAGGTAAGTGTTTTTGCAGACTGCCTTCAAGAATTATTTTCAAAGTGTGTTTACTTTCTCTTGCAATGCTTCTAGTCCAGTAAAGTGCATCTGGGCTAAAAACCAAGTTTCTCTACTTAAGCGTATGTAGTGATAAAAAGAGTTAAATTGCCTAATTCCCAACCTTTCATTACTTGACATTTAAACCAGATCTAAACCTTTTTGCACACTTGAGTAGATATCCTTTTTTGTATGATTTCAGACAAATTAAAAATGCAAATGTGTTTTAGGTATTCAGCTGATGACACAACTGGCTTTAAAGTTTTCCTTCTCGGTGAATGAAAAAACAAGTCTCCCTTTGTGTTATTCTGAACTATAATGAGAGAAACAAAGTTACTAGATACCTGTACTCAGATGTGCCTTTCCAGTAAATTTAATTGTAATTTAATGATTTACTGTTCTACCCTGTGAATTCGGGGCTTAAGTGAGATTTTTGTTTGGAAAAGGGTTGCACAGACTTTAATTGAGAGTTTTTTTTCTTTTTCCCTTACAATCTCCTTTAAGGTGAACTAGTACTGTACTACCATGGTATGTGCGGGAGATTTAATTTCAGTGTAAAACTCCGTTGTTTCAAGGGACTGATTTTGTTGTGGGGTTGGTCTTTTTTTTTTTTTCAATCTTAAATTCAGTCCTGTATTGCCAGTTGCAGTTTTGCGACTTTAAAATCTTTTAAATTTGGTCAGAGGCATTTGAAAATGCCTGAAGAAGCAAGTCAGGATACCATTAACAGGATACATGTAAATGTGCAGATATGTGCTAAATGTCTACATTTCTGTATTGGAAGTTAACTATACGCTGTAAATCCAATTTTTAGTTAAGATTAGTTTTTCTGCAGCAGAAAAACTTACCTCTTCATATAATAAAAAAATTCATTCAATGCTGGTAGTTTTAATTCTAATATGGGAATAGAATTTGGCAATACCACAGTATATTGTGAGGCTATTTCCTTTAAAGTCTTTATAGAAGATTTAATCGTTAGTGAAACTTCCTCCCAACTATGGAGTTAAATTTTCAGTATGAACGAAATGCCGTGAGAAATAGGTACATGTAATCTTTCTTGATGGATGTTTTGCTGTTTCATTGCCCCATACAGAAACAAAGTTCATGTTGTATAAAGTGTGCTTCTGAGCACAAATCAGCATTTTGGCTGCTTATGATCTGTGCTGTGTTTTTTAAACATAATTAGTAATGTAAGTCTTAAGAACTTAGGAGTTTTAGCCTTTGCCGTTATGCAAGCAGAGTGTTCTGAGTATTGGAAAGCTGAAGAATGTTGCTGTGACCTACTTAAATTACTTTGTTTCTAAGTATTTAGATTTAGAAATTACCTAAGTTAGATAATTTTGTCTAAGCTTGTCACAACACTGTTATGGTTGATTGCTGTACTTGCCCTCATATTTTGTTCCAAGTTGTGGCATTATCATGCCATACTTTTAATTATTTTTTTTTCCTGTTAAGGAATACAGTGTTTCTTAATAACTCGTAACATGTTCTAGCGAGTCAGGAATATTGGAAAGTTTCCCGAGATACCTTATTGATTCTAAATGTCAAGGTTCTTTCCCTGTGATTTTTGTCATTCGTGCCATGCATCTTTATATTGCTTGTTTTCTTTTACTAACGCCAACTTATTGGGGTATAATTGGTACAGCTTTTCAAAAAGGTGCGTAACAATTTTAGTTCTTAGATCTAATACATAGAATTTCAATACCTTGCAGGAGTTGCAAAATTTGTTCAATATTTTTTCCCTTTCAAAAATTGAACGCAGTGGTGGGGAGTGATTGATGCATTTTTCTGAGGTCATCTGTGAGTCAGGGGGAGATCTGAATGTAGACCTATATACTGACTTACATTACCTATTAGAAGATGTGTCTCTGTGCACATTGCTGTGGGATAAATTAGCCTAATTAATGATTCATTAATAGAATATATATCTCAAGTAAAATATGAAGCTTCTATTCTTAGGGAAGCTAAATGTGCTCATGCTTTAGCTAAAATTATTTAAAGCGAGATACTGAACATAGTTTAGAACAGATACTACATGAATTTATTCTGAGAACAGTAATACCCCATTATTTTGTAATATCTTGAAATTTTATGATACTGTAGTGTTCAAAAGATTTATTGCTTTGTGATTGCCAAAGTAGCAGAACTTCATGAATGTTAAAATCACATACTTGCTTCTGCTCACTTTGTATTTTATAATATTTCATATGTAGTTAGCTTTTCTTGTTTGCTTCTGTAGTCTACCTAATATATTAGATTAGAGGGCATATGTAATACTAATATAAAATATGCACTTAAGTCAGATAAAATAATGTTAAATACTTCAGAGATTAAGGTATAATTAATTGAAAAAATAATTTAAGCAGATCTTTATGATGTCCAAAAGAGAAACTTTTTTCTGATGGTTAATTATTTAATCTTATCTTAAAAGCAAGGACATGACAATATAAACTGTAATTGTATGTTGGTATGTGGATTTTTGTGTGTGGGGTTATTTGGGTGGTATAGCTGTTTTGGGGATTGGTTGGTTGTTCTGTTTTAAAAACAGAACAAATTCTGTTCTTGTAGCCAAGAGCAGAATTAATGTGAACATAATAATAAGACGTAGGGAAAACTAAGAATGGTTTTGGTAAGGGAAATAAATTTATCTAAAGCTTGTGAGACTTTCATGAAACAGTAAGTACATGGGCAAGCACTTGGGCATTCAGAACATTACTGATTATAGCTGATACTGAAACTTACATGAGGTTGCAGGGAAGTACTTGCCATGACAAGTGATTGAGTGATAGAAGAATAGCTTTCCTGTTAGGGTGCTGAGGCAGTGGAATAGGTTGCCCAGGGAGGTTGTGAATGCTCCATCCCTGGCAGTGCTCAAGACCAGGTTGGACAAAGCCTTGGGTGATACGGTTTAGTGTGAGGTGTCCCTGCCCGTGGCAGGGGGGTTGGAAGTAGATGATGTTAAGGTCCTTTCCAACCCTAACTATTCTATGATTCTCTGATTCTCTGATGTTGAAAAATACATGATGCTGTGTAAATAATATTTTTGAAGTGTTCAGCTGCAATCCATGTTTTTATGTGAAAAAGGCAAAGAATTGGGTATTTTCAAATAACTTCCATTGTATTATTTTTAATATACTTTCTACAAGGAAATATATTTAATTCATAATCACCGATTTCCAAATTGTGTAGTCAAGGTTTTTCAGGCCTTTTAAACTACTTCTGGGAAGACCTTGAAAAGTAATTGGGGTCAGCTAGTTCAGTGACTCTACACATGCCCTCAGCTTTTTGAGACTATTTTATGGCACCTTCATGCTAAAAATTTGAATGTGGTTGCCCTGAACTCAAGACTAAATAAACGTTTATTGTGTAGGAAATGTTTAGTCTCTATACTTTGCTGGATTTCCAAATGCTAATACAGTGCTGGTGTTCAGTAATATTTTCCAAGGTGTTAAATAGGCAACTCAAATATTTTTAGTAACTTGCTGTTGAAGTATGTTTAAAAGCGGGTGCACTAGAGGGCAGTGTTTTCCTATTTAATGTAGCCTTTTGACAGGTCTCCTGATTCAGTGTTTGGGTTTACGTGTCTGTTTAATCAGTTCTCAATAATCTTTGAGTTTTTCAGCCATCCCAAGAGCTCTTGGAGTTGCTTTCTTTACATGCGTAAGTAGTTATCTAGCAGAAATAAGTTCTGAGAGTCACAAAATTAAGCGTGTGTGAATGTTTAAAAGATTATGGCACTTGACATCAGTCTTAACAGCTGTTTGCAGTAGAAACCATGCATTGGAAAATATTAGCAAAAGCTACTGAGGGGAGGGCTAAGGAGATGGATTTGGGGGCATACTGAAACATAAGGAAGGATGAGAGAAACCATAACCAGCTCTGTGTCCTACTAAAGAAGCATATAGAGAAATGCAAAAGAAATGGTCATACGGACATAAGCAGTATATTAATATGTCACAGGAGGGGACTAGAGAGGAAATGTTGGGTATGGGGAGGGAGGGAACATAGAAATTTAAATGTATCGAAGGCAGTAGGAAGAATGAATATCAAAAGAGCTGCACTGAAAAAGGTCGTCTTGTGTATTTTCACATATCAGTGTTCTTCATAAATATATTTCTATATATATAAAAATAACTAGAACAGTGCTATACTTCCTGTGGATTTTCTAACCTTTGCAGAAAGGAAAACACCAGTAAAGCCTTTTTTCGTTACTTTATATCAAACGTGCTTAAGCTTATCAGGATAAATTATTTAATACAATAAAAAAGGAAAAAAAAAAGGCAGAATCACAAATATTATTCAGAAAGATCAGTTCTTGACCCTTCAGTGATTTATTATTCCAACCTTGGTGAGTTACATTGTGAATGGTGAAAATGCCAAAACCTTCTTATTTACCAATTGGTAAACTTGTCAGAAACGCTAACAGGAATCTACTTGTATTTCTTGGCTGAATTATTTGAGAGCAGTGTTCCTGAGGCTATACTGTAGGTAGAGTATAATGATGGAAAGGGTGTTACCCATTCACTGCTATAAATTGTTTTCAACTGCTAAGCTTGTCGGGAATTGCAAGGTCTGCCAAAAATACTTTACTTAGACCCAAACTGGAATTCTAATTTGAAATCAGTAAAATTTGGATGGACAGGAAGAGGTACAGTGTTTTCTTTGGAAGCAGTAAAAGTTTTCCACACCAGAAAAAAGTGTAATGAAACTGAAAGGAACTCCCTGGCCCTTCTCTTTGTGGGGGCTGTAGCAGTGAGCCCCAGTCATGGTGTGAGCCCTCTGCCCTGCGGTGCTGCAGATGTGATCAGCCAGCAATTCTGCTGTGATTCTGTCACTGGTTACAGCAGAGAAATTCAGTGTGATCTTTCTTCTCCAGTAAGGTTTTTTGCTCTGGAACAGCCTATTTACCAATGAAGGTGAGCTGCTGTGAATGAAATGGGAAAACCTGAGCAGATATTTTTGTGAGAAATGTTTTGGTTTCTGATGGAATCACTGAGCATTGCTATTGTTGACAAGTATATTTCATTTTTGTAAAACTGTTATTTTCCCATTAAAACGTTTATGAATTTTCCAAGCAGCTGCACATATACCTGTCCTCAGTTAAGAAAGGTTTGTCCTGCTTAAACATGTGGGTTAATGAGAAATATGCAGCAAGGCTGTAGTAAGTACATCTCAGTTGCCCAATGCAAACTTCAGCAGTTTGAAAATGCTTTAGTGAAAGGAATCTTTTAGATGTTATTTTTCTACTGGAAGTCGAGAGATTTTCAAATCCATTGTATTAAGGAAGTGGATTTGGAAGTACAGAGTCATTAGAAATGCAGTTACATGCCAAAAAGCTGTTAGATTTTACAGCCTACAATTTTGAAATTTAGTTAAAGTTGATAAATGCTGACAACAGAATGGGAGAGGAGGAAGTTTGCTTTTCTAGCTTTTTTTTTTCCCCTAGTGTTTGCTTGCATTTAGTATTAATGCTGCGTAGTCAAATGTCAGAAATACTTGACTAATAAAAAACTGTTTTTCAAAATTGTCAAGGTGCTTGTATAACTAGATGAGTAAGGTGGAATATAGTCTGGATTTTCAGTGTAAAACGTCTTCATACTACATCTGTCTATGAAAACATCTATGATATCCTCAAATAAATACTGTCTGTAAGTGAGAATGTAGTACTGCAAGGTGCAAGTGCACACATAAAAAAAATTTGATGGATAGTGACCTGTAAATTCAAATTCAATTTTGTAGTGCACCAGCTTTCCCATATAGAAGAAAACTGAAATTGCTTAATATTTTCCGCATGATTTCTCAGTACTGAGATTTGGCAGTAGTTTTCAGTCTAGTCTTCTGACCCACTTTTGTTTTAACGATAAAAACAGGGCAAGAAGATTATTCTTCTCCCCCCTGACATTCATTTTCAAACAAAGGGGAAGGGATTTCGCAATTTCTGACTGAAGACCCATTGATATACTGCTTCCTGTATTCCAGTTTCCCTTTCTTCTTGTTTTATGCACGATTTTATTTCTTTTTAAATAAGAATGAACACCTAAATATCATACTTGCGTAGAATTGTAGTCCAAGTATCCAAAAAAGCAAATATAAAGAATGTATTGTACTAGCTAGTGCTTGTTACTCTTTGCTTAAAATAAAATAAACCTTTGTAAAAGCTAAAGGCATGTGGGTTTGATAACTGTGGCCTTTCAAAAGGTTCTGAAAGTACTAAATACAGTGGGAATCACGTGCTTTCCTAATGTGAAAATAGCAACTGAGGTGATAACTGAGGAGATATTGCAGTATTTGTGTTGGAACTTCCACAGTCCCTGTAGTTTTTGGCAAGAATATTATTCATTATCTTGAGTAAACTGCTGTTACAGTTCAGGAAAGTACTGCTTCAAACATCTGTGGTTTCCTCATGTGGATGGACTTGGACACGTGTTAAGGATTTTCATTTTCTAAACTGAATTTATTATTCTCATTAGGTCATCCTTGGCAAGTACACCTGGCTTTCATATGAAGATGTATACATTAAAGCTGTTAATTTTGGAAATGGCTTAGCAGTATTGGGTCAGCAACCAAAGACTAACATTGCTATCTTTTGTGAGACTAGAGCTGAGTGGATGATTGCAGCACAAGCCTGTTTCATGTGCAGCTACCAGCGTAAGTATGCGTCTTTCCTAAAATTCTCTTGATCTTGCAACGCAATCTGAAAATAAACCTTCTATTTCATATACTAAGAAAACTTTATATAGATTTTTTATGTAGAACATTTAAATATACAAATTAAAAAATGCTGCATAGGGTGGAGATTGCACTTTGTAGTGTTTTGTTTTATTGAACAGAGAAACCTGTATCTGTGTGCAGATGGAGTATGGTTTCAGTAAGTATAACTTGCTTAATGAATTTGTGAGAGGCTTATTTTCCTTTACTCTCAAATCAGTACAGATTCCCGAGTTTCTAAAAACAAACAAAAATCGCACATGAATTAATTGACTCAGTTTCAGGAGTTGACCTCAAACCTTCATCTGTAAGTTTTGTTTTAACTGCTTATTTTGTCAGTTCTTCAGTTTTGATTTTAATTGGGCCTGTTTTTCTTTCAGAGAAATCGATTGAATGCTGATCTCAACCTGAAACATAAATTGTATTCAGGTGTCTGTTTCATCATCACTTCTTAATAGGTCATTCACCTAACTGTAAGCCCAGCCTGTGGCTGTGTTCTGTGGTGCTCCCAGACACATTTCTCACTTGCCCAAAGGCACTCTAAAAGCTGCTGTTCCTTACTGGCTTTGGCCTCCTCTCTCCCATGCCGCACTTATTCTCCTGCAGTAAGAGATGGGCTGTAAAAGGCAGATGTGGAGAAATTACTGATTTACTACCTGCCTACACTAAAGGTGTATATCAGTTAGACGTCATTTAGATTTTGGAAGCAAGCCGAAGAATCTTAAATGGCCCCTCTTTGCTATGAGTCTGTTTCAGTTTGAGAATCCATGTGTTCATGAGTATATAGCAGTTTTCATTTAAGTAAGACTACCTAATAGAAGCATATTGGTAAGATGAAGCCAGATTCTATTCAAGGTGTTGAGAAGACTGGAGGCAACACACAGAAGTTGAAACACAGGAAAACTAGGTAGTAGGGCAAACTTCTGAGTGGTTATGAAATCCCCATCCTTGGAGATACAATCATAGAATACTTACGGTTGGAAAGGACCTTAAGACCATCTAGTTCCAACCCCCCTGCCCATACCTCACACTAGGCCATGGCCGTGAGCACTCTGCTGTAATGAACTGTTTTATGGATGTGATCTTCCCAGGTGCCTTCTAGCCTAAATTCAGCGATATTTTTTTTTTGTTCTTTCTTCACTGAGTGATGGCTTCTGAGTTGTCTACCAGGGCAGAGATCTGCACAGGCTGTTCTTGGATGAGATGATGTATTGCTTTTAAACTATGTGTCTCTTAATACAATGTGTCAGTTCCCTCTTTTGGGATCTGTTAGATGCCTCGTGACTGTCCTGGGAATAAAGTGCGAAGGCTTGTATCAATTATTTTTTCTTTGGAAGTGCAGTATACTTAGAAATCCGAGGAAGATTTTGTAATTTGAGGGGAAAAAAATGTATCTGAGATAGTGGATGGATGTCGTGCTGAATGGTATGCATATGGTTTTGAGTTTGTTGGATTAATGTTTTAAATTCCCTTACTGAGATGTGCGCCAGCACACTGTCTCATCTAAGCTGTATGTCATCTTGTGTGAACTTGGCTGACTTGAGTACTGGCAGATGATGATATTATCATGCGGTATTCACAGTCAATTTGCTGAATGAAGTATAAAATTCAGATGACATTGAAGAAGTAGTGTGGCAAGACACTGCTAAATGACTTATATTAGCATTTTTCAGTTTACAAGTTTTGCAAGAGCTTGCTGCTGCGGTAGGGTTGTGACATGCATTCAGAATGTGAAATGTATTAAATTCGATGGTATGTGCCCAGAACTAATGTCAAGAGGACAGGTTCATCTGCTTCATATGTAGTACTGGAGAGAATTAAATGGGGAAAATAATTTTTATCTTATGGATTACTTGCATAAAGAATTGGCTTTATGATTAGAAATACTTGCTTGATTGTAAATTTGACACTGAAGCTGTCTAAGTCTTGTATTTCAGGAGGTAAGAGTGGAATTGCTGGCTCAAAATGGGGAAAAAAAAAAAAGACGAGTAGTAGCATGAAAACACGTTTTCTTCCATAGTATCTGTTCATCTGTGTGAAGAGCTCTTCACCAGTATGGGCAGATAAAACATCTGAGTGTGTAACCAAATAATGAGATAAATAGGAAAGGTTATGTTTAATTTTTCAGTCATGCATTCGAGAGGCTTGAGCAAAAATGGTTTTGTAAGTAATGATTTACCTGAAGGTATATTTTGCTTTATATTTGTGATGTGTGATGAATGCTGTAATACTCAGTGTAACATTTTGCTTGCAGTGAAATAAATGGCAAAAGTTCTGTTTGTTTCCTTAGGGCAAGGCTTTGTTCTCGTATATTAGCTGACGAATTTAGTGGTGCTGAGATTTTCTTTGTTGATTGATTGTTGGAGCAGTATTACTAGCAGAAGTTCAGGTATCAAACGCTCATGCTATTGTGTGTGTAAAGATGAACTCAAAAGATAATCTGTTCTCAGTCAGTTTTCAAGAGAACAAGGGGAGAAAAAAATTACCCAAACTTTCAGATTTGCCTGAAAAAGTTTTACATGCCAGTGTGGAGAAGGGGAAATTTCACAGGTCAGTCATTCCTCAGGTTTTTTCTCTCCATGACATCAGTACACCATTATATAAATGGGAGAGCTCTCTTTGGCTCTGTCATATAGCTCTAAGTTGCCCTTGATGTAGATGAGTAATTAGGTACATAAATGGCTATTTCAGAGATTATGCTTTTCTCTCCAGGCAGCATGTTGTCTTGGTTGCGCTTGTTGGCTTGGGGAAGCTGAATTTCTGCTAGATGTTTATATAACAGGGGTCACTGCAGTAAGTAGAGAGAGCTCGTGGGAACTAGTAGAGGCACTCTTTAGGACTTTGCTCCCACCAAATTAAAGAAAACACAGTGCATGTGCATTTGCCCTGCAACAGTTCTGAACTATGATGGACTGTTTTAACAAGGAAAAAATAAGTGGAGGTCAACTATTTACTCATCTGTGTAAGAAAACTGCTTTTGAGTTCTTCCTTAGTATGCAGCACTGGGTTTGTAACTCCCTGGATTTCACATCCTAGAAAACAGCAGAGTTTGATTTGATTTTACTGTTAATTTTTGTTGCAGTGAACATAATATAGTTCTAGCCCTAATATACAGTAGGTGTCTTGTTTTAATCATTGTTTAAATATTCATTTAGGTCCAGACTAAAATACAAAAGAAACTCGAATACTTAATGTGACAAACCCGCCAACACTGATGCTGTAGTTACTAGTGATTGTAATTATTTACCTTGCAGCTTTTTTGAGATGCCCCTGTTTAACAGTCTGCTTGGAAAATAGGGAATTTTTATTGTTTTTAAGAGCAATACCTCTCTTCCTCTTTGAGCTGCCTTTTTCTTCCCAGTCTCTTCTGGTTTTTCTCATGCATTTCCCATAAAAATGGCAAGGTATTAAATACAATTTTTAAATTGTTAATATAAAGTAATTGTTGTTTAACACTACATCTAATGAGCAGTCCTTAAATACAGGAAATGGTGTTTCTAATAGTCAATTTCCTAAATATTTTGTTTCCTTGGTATTCTGTATTCTCAGTTCAATGTCTAATGATTGTGATGGTTAAACCTTTATTATGTTGTTGCAAATAGATGGGAGGAGGCTTATTACTGAGTATGAGAATTAGCCTGCTGATGACAAGTATTGCTGTATTCTAAATGTTTTATTAGCAGTCAGTTGTTAAAGGTTAGGAACAAAGCATGTGAATTCTGAAAAGAGAACTCATATAAATGAAATCTGTAAGAGGACTCTCAAACTGAGAACAGATGCCTGCTTTTAAAATGGTAAAAGCCATGAAAGTACAAGAATAGATCTAGAAGAGAATTACATAGGGTAATGTGGTTTTGGTGCCTCTAGTTAGACCTCGAAAAATAGCAAACACTTGCATAGACAATGGTTGTTCTTTATTCCTTCTGAGAGTAACTGAAAGTTATGCTGTATTTAAATTCATACTCTAAGGCGGTGGGTTTTTTTTTAACAAATGTTTAATGTATTGCCTAATTTAAAATAGGTTAATCTCAGCCCTTTATGGTAAACTGTACTTGGAAGTGTAACATAGAAATTCAGCATTTTTATTCCCATTTTCTGTTCCAGTTGTTACTCTATATGCTACTCTGGGAGGCCCAGCAATAGTACATGGACTGAATGAAACAGAGGTGACCACCATCATTACTAGTAAAGAATTGATGCAAACAAAGCTGAAGGTCAGAAAACTGTTGTCTCTCTCTCTCCAATGTATCTGTTCATTATTGTTAAAAGGCCTGGTTCCATTGTACAAAACAATGATTTATTGCCTTTCTGTAGGGGAGACTCTCATTTTAGAGTATGTATCTGTCTTCAGGTACAGAAAAATGATAGCCTTCATTTTAGGGGTTTAGGCTCCTCAGTAACTCTTGAGCAGCTGCAGTGTTGCCTGGAATAACACCTTTACAAAAAACTGCTATGGTTCCTGCATGGATTTAGTCCCTATAAATTTAACAGCTGAAGCAAATGGGAAGAACAGAAAAATGTGCAAACTGTATATGAGTAGCTAAATGTGATCATCTGCCTGATTTATTGTAGGATGTTTTCCCAGCAGAGACTGGCTCTTAAATCTAAAGATGTGTACTTGAAGAGTTAAGAGCTGTTTTCCAGTGTGGGGAAGAGCTTATTAAACATTTTAACAGTCGAAAAACTTTTTTGACTTGCCCAGATTGAATACACAAGTGGATCAATTTATCTGCATGGGTTTCATCATCATCATGTGTTTTGGGGGAACTAGACCTCTCACATAAGGGAGTTTTTCTAATGAAAAACCATGCTCTATTGCTGAACTTCAAATAAGACTTTCCCAAACCTTTTTAAGTTACTAGAATGAGAATATATATAATGCACTTTTATTTCAGCTCACATTAAGAGACTAAATTTCTTCAGCTTGAGAAGATAATAATCTCCTCTTCCTCTAGGACACTGATAAATGTTTTAGAACTCTTATTTTGCTTGAAATGCTTAACTAGTGCCTAACTAATAATTTTCTGTACTTTTGCTGGCTGTTGCTAATTTTAAATATCATAGTAATCAAGGAGCAACATAAGAATTATTGTGAGCTCAGTGTCGCCATTTTCTCTGTGTTCTATGAGAGTGGAAAGTCAATTATCTCTACAAATCATTGCAGTTTCACTTGTGGGCTTTTCTTGAAATAAGACCGAGATCAGTAAACAGTTGGAAAAGTTTTTGGAGTTGTAAGTGGAAAGTTCAGTCAGTTCTGCAAATGTAAATGTGGAAAGTTTTAAGCTTTGTAGCCATTTGAGCTAGAAAAAAAGCTTAGACAAAGCTTAGTCCAAATCCTCAGCTAATTTATATCAGTGTTTTTTTAACATATACACTAGTGTGGTGGGGTTTTTTTGTGGCTGGTTTTGGGTATTTTTCCTCTTGTTGGCATAAGTCTCATGTATGATTTCTGCGCACGTTTATTTCCACAGGAAATTGTTTCTCAAGTTCCACTGCTGCGACATATTATTACAGTGGATGGCAAACCAACAACATGGTCAGAGTTTCCCAAGGGTGTCATTGTTCATACTATGGCTTCTGTGCAAGCTATGGGGGCCAAGGCAGATACTAGTAGGTTATCTTTTCTTTCTATTTGGAACATCTCATTTGTTGTCCTACTTTGACCCTGTTGAGTAAATGTGGGTAAACTGCAGATCTCAAAAAAACAGTGCAGTGATGAACTTTTTATCATCTGCTTTTTCTTTAAATGAAATCTGTGGGTTTTTTTTGTTTGGTTGAGATTTGATTTTGGGGTGTATGGGGGGAGTTTGTTTTGTTTTTTTTGTTTTGAGAGATTAACATGGTTTCAAAAAGAACTGGTTTTTTTCCACAATGGAGAATAATTTCTAGGACAGGCATTTATGCCAGGATAGCAACTTGGGAAGCATTCTTATGATCAGACATACTAAAACCAAGTTGTTCAGAGCACATGGAGAATACAATTGTACATTTTAAAGCAAAATACATCAGTAATTTTCTACCATTAAGTTTTGTTAAATGCACAAATAAGGAAATGTAAAATAGCCAGTTAAATCTGATAGAACTTGGTCACTTTTATTGCATTTCTGGAAGTATCAATCTACTATGTACGTTTCTGGAAATCTATTTCCAATCTATGTAACACTTAAAATTCAGAATTTCAGGAGGTTTTGGTTTGGTTTTGTTCTTGTTTTAACTTTTATAACAAACTGATATTCTTGGCTCTGAAACCTGATAAACCTAGTATTGTAAGATTTCGTTATATTCAGTAGTTACTTTCTTCTGTTCTTACTCTTCATGTTTTCAGAATCTTTCAACCACATGGATGTTAGATTGAATTTTGTTTTGGGAGTAGTGTGGGTGGGTAGTCCTGCTTTTGATATTTGGGGGAATGGAAATTTTTACTTCCAACATCATGACATCTCAATTTCTTTAAAAGATGTTTTTTCCTTTTTTACCAGTTTTGTGTACTCTCAAAACTAATTCAGAAAACACCAGTATAAAAAAATTGCAGCTATAGTTCATTAGTACCTTGAGGTGGCCTAATCCCTCATTCTTTGGTCTTCTAAATATCACATACTATGTACTATAAAAATGTTATCTTGGTCAAGTTTACCATTCATAAATTGTGGAATGCTACAGTGATATTTTTTTATGGTCAAGCATGTTCAATTAATAATATATTAAATATATGAGCTGCTGCTTATGTCTCTATTTTCCTCTGTGATGTTAATCTTGCAGGATAGGCAGGGCTCAGGGAGTGGAAAATTAAATGTTTTCATTCTTCTCATTCAGTATGTGTGGTGTGTTACACATATTGCTCATTGCGGTTCAAGAAAACAATATTCACCTGGCGTGATATTATAGAAGATAACGTGCCTGCTTGTTGCTTACTCACCACGTAAACTTTCTGCTCTTTTAGACTTCCTAATCTGCTAGTGAGTCAGCATGGTAGGGGAGGTTAACTTTACTTCTCAACTGTGTTCCAGCATTATCTGCAGCATCTTGCTGGTCTTCCTACAAAATTCTGAGAAAGAAAACAAAGTAATTTGCTTACTGCAAAGAGCCATCACGCAAATCTTGCGTTGAAAATTCTGTCATTGTTATTTCATCTTTATTCTTACTCTTTTCTTAATTCATGCTATCAAAATAGCAGGTTGGATGGGGCTTTAAGCAACCTGGTCTAGTAGAAGGGGAATGGCAAGGGGGACTGGAACTAGGTGATCTTAATGTCCCTTACAAGCTAAACCATTCTGTGATTAAGCAGTTTTTCCTCTGAATAAACACATTTGTTTTTGTATTTTCTTGCTCTCAGAGCAAGCAGTTTAAAAAACTTCAATCCTATTAAAGTTGTTGAACCTACTTTAAATATTTATAGAAATTGGACCTTGTGTTGGCTCAGCAGTGTCTTGCTTCAGGTGTTGTAAATGAGGCAGCATGTTGTTCCCCTGCCAGGGAACACAGGAGAAACCAGCTTTTTAAATGGGGATTAATGTTGTGTCAATGTGGAACCAGTGCAGCCTATCTTCCTGAGGATGTTAAAGCTCAGTGGCATTTTGGAGATGCCAAAGCTTCTCTTTTTTTTGTCTTCTCTGCAGGAATATGGGAAGCATTATAGAAGAAGTGTTGTTGTGGTAGACTAGGACAATGACTCAAAGCATTGCTCAGCTAATGCAAAGAAGTTCCTGCTCTTTGCGAAGGCACTTAAGCTTGGCCACAATCTTTTTAACTGAAAGCAAAATGTAGTAACAGTAGTCATGTGGTAATGTATTTCAATGACTGCTAAAATCAGTTAGTATATCAGACCTCCCAGTCTAATAGGCTCTCCTCATATTATATGTGTTTCTCTCTTTTAATACAAATTATAGGAAACAAACAGCAGGCCAGGCCTGTGCCCTCAGATATTGCAGTGATCATGTACACAAGTGGATCCACAGGAGTTCCCAAAGGAGTTATGATCTCCCACTGCAACATAATTGCTGGGATAACAGGAATGGCTGAGAGGATTCCAAATCTGGGGTATGTACCAATGGTTGCTTACCAGCAAATAAACTAATCATAGTTGCATATTCTTTTAGATTAAGTACTGTTTAAAAGATCAACTATCTTATATTGCTTTGTCTGGGGCACATCTTACTCTGCACTGATGTCTGGGCATCTTCCAGTACTGCGTTAAATGACATGAATACTTCATGTGCTGTTTGTTCTCTTATATTCTCTATGTGGGCAAGACTGGGGCACACAAGTCTGTGAGGCTGCCTTGCACTAGAGTGCTTGAAAGCTTCCCTAAGCAGTACTTCCTTTGGTTAGTGTTAATTTCTGTGGTTTCTTTCTGTTTGGTACAGTTTTTAACCTTGTCCACAGAGTTGCCTTTGCAACCATAGCAACGGTTAGTTGTCTTGGGATGAGTAAACCCCACACTTTGTTCATGACATAGGCCTACAGTATATAGTAAGCAACTTTTTAAACAAAACCCATATTTGAAATGTAGTCTCAAGGCAATTTTCCATTTTCTTTTGTTCTTCAGTAAGCTCTGTGTAAATTTGGCTTAATGATTTACCTGATGACTCCTATGGTACAAAATAAACCTATTCTTTAAAAATCTTTTTACAGAGAAAAAGATATCTATATTGGCTATTTGCCTCTTGCCCATGTTCTGGAGCTGAGTGCTGAACTTGTGTGTCTGTCTCATGGATGCCGCATTGGTTACTCTTCACCTCAGACACTAGCTGACCAGGTATGTTACAGATGTTAAGCACTTGCAGTAAAAAAAACCCAAACCAAAACATAAATAATTACTGAAGTCAGATCTTTGTAATATTTCTTGAAAAATATTAAATTCTTTTCTGCAGTTCATGAAACAGGGTATGCGTAGTTATGACTTGGACTCTGGACTAGTTTTAATTGTTAAAATATAATTTAAATGAAAATGATTGTTTGAAAGATGTGCTGTGTCATTTTGTTTGTCTTGTTAAAAATCTTGAATGTGTCTTCTAGTAAACATGTTCTTTGCTTTAGTCATCTAAAATAAAGAAAGGAAGCAAAGGTGATGTTACTACACTTAAGCCAACCCTAATGGCAGCTGTCCCGGTAAGTAACTGAAGGATAAATATTTATAAATATATTTTTAATGTATTTAAAAAAAAATAATCCAGATTTTTAACAACAAAATCAAAACATTTAAATAAAAATGTTAGAACTTCTGATGTTAAGCTAATTTATAATAATATTTTTTGTATTTATGTTGGAGATAAACATTCATCATACAAATGTCAATATTTTTCAAATTTTAAATAGCTGTGGGTATTAGATCGTAATTTTAAGTAGTCATCTGTTGTTCATTATGCAAATGAAGTTTGTTCAAATGAGTGGAATAAAGACAGTTGGCTGAAGGGAATTTGGGATTAACTAGTGCTCCTGCTCAGATGTTTGATTTCTGGGTTTCTCTGAACATCTTTATCTCATCAGTGGAAGAGGAAACAACCTGAGAGTGGGTTATCATCTGAAATGTACTGGAATTTCTAGATCATGTTTCCTTTTTGTACTGAATTTAGGATTTATGTTTCTGTGAGTTAAAGGTAGTCTTTTTATGTAACTAGGAAATTATGGATCGTATCTATAAAAATGTCATGAATAAAGTGAATGAAATGACTACTTTCCAGCGGAATCTATTTATATTGGCCTACAACTACAAAATGGAACAGATTTCCAAAGGTTACACAACCCCGCTCTGCGATAGGTAAGTTTAGTTTTATTTTTCAGTGGCACCAAAAAAATGCTTATCAAAGTCCTTCCACATGAGCATTACCTGATTTTTCTAATTTCTTTTACTGTTGACACTTTGAACATAAACAAGCCTGTAATAAAGTGTAAATTCAGTAGTTTGTGTGATGCTTTAAAACATTTATTGATACAATTTAGATGAGCATTATTTAACTTGAAACTGATTGGAGGTTTATATTGATTGCTTTGTCTTCATCAGAAGTTTAATAATAGATTTATACAATTCTGGGTAAGATGGGAAGTCTGTTGGTATATACAGCTGTAGATTTCACACTTTGACAGAAGTGAATAGTAAAGTATTTGGAGTTGGAAGGAACCCATAAGGATCATGGAGTGCAACTCCCAGCTTCAGTGAGACTAAAGCATAATGTAATTGCAAAATTTATACAGCTTTTTAAAATTATTTTTGAGGAGAAAAAAAATCAGAATTTTACTGTCTTAAGAAATCTGCAGTCTCTAAACATTTAAACCATCTTCAAATTAGAATGTGGAAACAAGATTACAAATCCTGTGTTCTTGAAAACTTAAATGTGCTCCTTCAGAGTTTTTCTTGAATAACATAAAAGTGTATCTGAAGATGGTGCAAACTTTCAGTTCAGATACAGAAGTAAGTACTCTCTTGTTTTAAAGCAACAAATACATACTCTTAATCTTTGCATTTTAGCCTTATTTTCCGGAAAGTACGAATGCTGCTAGGTGGAAAGATTCGCATCCTGCTTTGTGGAGGAGCTCCACTCTCTGCAGCAACTCAGCGGTTTATGAATATTTGTTTCTGTTGCCCTGTAGGACAGGGGTATGGGCTAACTGAATCATCTGGAGCTGGAACAATCATGGAAGGTTGGTGTCAGCACATCCCACTGAGTGCTGTGGTCCATGCTGGGTGTATCATCTGGCAGTCTATTCATTTGGAGTATGCCACCAAATTGTAATTGGGGAATCCTAGGAATTGCATATAATAATCATAAATATATAAAGTAGTAGGAGTACTAATTTTGATACATTGTGATAAAGCTGGTGACTTACATATAAAAAAATATTCTCATTTGTAATAGCGATACCCATAATAATGTGAATGGGATCTGGTCATTATTGCACTTAGCAGTTGAACTGAATAAATAATTTTGAGACTTTAGGAAAATAAAAAATTGAATGCAAAAGCCTGCACCAGACTTTTAATTTCATATCATAGAACTTAATGGTGTCTGTAACACGGAACTGTAATATAAATGAAGTAGTCTGCAGTGATGCTTTTTCAGCAACGAGCCTAGATGTAGAAGTGTTTGGAAATGAGATTCAGGAAGGTGAATCGAAATAGAGTATCCCTTAATTGTTATGGAATATTGCTACTTATCTTAGTCCAGCAAACGCTGTTTAAAGTTGTTGTGCCACTTCTAAAGTGTGATCCGCATGGATAGCTTACTGTGAAAGCTGTGTTGATATGACTGGAGGTATCTGTAAATACAGCAATCTGTTCTCTTTGTGAGATAAGTATTTTAGCTGCGTGACCTTGATAGATCCATTGGTTTTCTTGGAAGTTCTGTTCTATGAATTAAAGTTTAGAAATAAATAACAGTTAATTTTCACTAAATAAGATGCATGACAACAAAGACTTCTTTGTTTTTTCCCACTCTTTGACTTCTTTTTTTTCCTGAAAAATGCTTTTTTTAATATATTTTAGTTTGGGACTACACTACAGGGAGAGTGGGAGCACCTTTGGTCTGTTGTGAAATCAAGTTAATGAACTGGGAAGAAGGTGAGAATTTCTGTATGTGATTTAATTATCTTATAAGAACTTTGTATGGCTATTTTTCTGTTGGGCTTTGCAGAGTAGTAGTAATTTGAAATCTATTTCTTGGCTTTTTATTTTTTAAAGGCTACTTTTACCTATAAAAATTTGAACTTGGGAGAGAAAAAAGGTAAATTCCTCAGTGGTTTTAAAACTTAAAGTATCTAGACAGAGCAATCAATGTGAATGGTTTTTTGCCTCGGCTGTATTATGACTCTTCAGCTATACTATATCTTGTATTCACTGTGCTTGTATATGCATATTGTGGAAGTGTATACAGCATTGTACCTCTTTCTGATCTAGATTAGTGTTCTTGCAGCACAGGGTGCAGGTTGTCTATGTTGTGTCTTAGAGGTGCTGGATACAGGAGGCTTGAGCCGAAGTGCATGCATGATACCTTCTGTTGCCATTAAGTTATTTTAAAATAGTCTTCATAATATTATTGTTAATAAATTAATTTAAAATTGGCATATGGAATGGAAGCGTAAAGGATGCTATACAAAATATATTTAATGAAGTTTGAAATGCATTTACATGATTTCTCTGTAAACTTTTATGTATTGTAGAGTAGAAATACTTAATGCTTAAAGGTGTTTGGGGCTAATGTGAAACTTTATACTTTTTTTTAGTTTCCTAAAATATGAGGCGAAATCTCTTTTGTAGGTTTTTGTTGTAGCTTTTTTATGTTTTTGTTTGTTTGTTCATTTTGTTTTTTTTAATCTTACTCAAGCTTGTATAAAACAGCATGGCAGAAAGTTTCATAGAATTGAAACTGAACTAGAGGCAAGTGAACTATTGATGCAGGTGGTAACTTTGTCTAAGGACATAGTAGATTGTTTAGTTCCATATTTAAATTATAAAAATAATAGGAATCTTTTGCTTTGGAATGTATTTCAGTTCTTGTTAATTTAACCTGCTCTTTTAGGTGGATATTACAACACTGATAAACCATATCCTAGAGGTGAGATTCTTATTGGAGGGCCAAATGTGACTGTGGGCTACTACAAAAACGAAGTACGGACCAAAAAAGATTTCTCCGTTGATGAAAATGGGCAGAGGTGGCTCCATACTGGTGACATTGGAGAATTTCATCAAGATGGATGTCTAAAAATTATTGGTGAGTTAATAAATTCGGGTGAACATAATTTCTGATTCTGCTAAATACTGTAATTAACCCCCCAAAATCTCTGTATCTCTGTATACAGTCTAAAGCCCTAGCATGTATCCCAGGGAATTTCTGATATGTTAACATAAACTTTATTGTGTGCTTTAAAAGCTGATTTTTGGAACAGTTGCTTTCTTTTAAAACAGTCTTAACATTGACTCCTCTCTGTTGGGGCTAGGTATTAATTAGAGACTTAAATATAGGCTAATGGAGCTAGATGAGCTGCCTTAGATTTTTATGATTTTGTAACTGGAATTTGGTTCATTGAAAGGACTCTTTTGATGATACGTGCTCAGTAATTGAGCCTTTTTCTAATCTTGTCATTCTTCATAATATCTAGGAGAAAAATATAACGAGGTGAAGGTGTTACACATAAAGCTGTGATAGACCCATAATCCTTTGATACCTATAGGCACAAGAATGATGCCATATAAACTACCAGATGTGTCTCTTGGAGGTAGCAGATGATTCAGGATTCTCTTTAATCCTGAAAACTAAGCATATTTGGTTTATTGTATCAGAAAAATCTTAGGTCCCATTGCAGCGGTCTTGCACTGATCAGACTATTCAGCTGCAAAACTACCTTGCCTGGTTGCACAAAGCACCATCAAAACACGTAGTAAAGGAGAGGTACTCCTGCTTGCCCTCACAGCTAGGTCGGTAAAGCCCCCTTACACGCCTTATCCTAGTGACCTTTGCCACCTTTGGGCTACATACAATAAGATCAAGTAATTTGGGCTTAAGTTTCAGTTCCTATTGTGTTTCATGTTACAGGTGACAGCTGGTCTTTAAATATGGATTTAGCCTGGTAATGAGTAACAAAATGTCACCAAATAGAGCATCTCCTGCCTTAAGCATCTGGACGAGACAGCACTAAGTGTGTTTTCAGACAAAAACTGGCTTTTGAATAATCCTAGTAGTCTTCCATTCACATCACAGTGCTGTCATGCAGAAAATGCTTTTCTAAAGGCAAAAAATGCATTAAATTGAAGAGTGTCTCATTTTTATGATAGGGAAAGATTGATAAAATGCAAAGCTTGGAAACCTAGTATTAAATGTTTGATATGCTCACCAAATGTGAGTTGCCTTTTGGCTTTTATACCTGCATTTCAAGAAAGTATAAAATCAGTGTCTAAAATCTTCTGTAATTAATGTTATTCCTGTTTTTCTTCAATAGATCGTAAAAAGGATCTTGTAAAACTCCAGGCAGGAGAATATGTTTCTCTTGGCAAAGTAGAAGCAGCTCTAAAGAGTCTTCCACTGGTAGATAATATTTGTGCATATGCAAGCAGGTAAGAGGCAGCTGCTACTTTATCATTGCTGTATTCTTTGTCCTACTGAAGCCATAAGCAAATTTTTTCACTCAGTGTGTGGAATTTTTTAAACCAGTTTAAAAATTATCTTACTTATATAGTAGAATAACTTTATCAAAACTAAACCATCTGGTAATGTATGTCTTTATTTTTTCTTTCCCATTTTTTTCATCATTCATTGGAAAATGCCTAGAATTAGTGTCTCTTTCCTTTTCCCCAGTCTGAAAAGCAGCTAAGCTCTGACTGCATTCATAATAGATATCACTCAAGCATTTTGGAGATGATTACCTACAGAAGACCTAGGACACCTTGTTCATTGGTATATTTAGCTGTGATGGAAGGGAGGGAGGGAAACAGTTCAGAGGAAGGGAGGGGGAAAACACTAACAGCTCAGAAGCTGGCTTGTGCATTGAAAGTGCTTTCCTTTAACACCAGCAGAAGTTTTGCAGCTTGAGAGAAAACAGTCTGTAAATACATTGCAAACACACATTTAATAAATGATATCAAATGTCCTTTCTACTTACTTTGTACTAATGAATTAGGCATATATGGGCTCAGAGGTGTCAGAGTTTCTGTTTCTAGAATTCCCTACCTGTGCATCATATAAACTTAAACATATAAATATACTTCAGGTGGTCTTTGTTTCCTGTTGTCATTTAAATGTTTGGAAAGTAATTTTGGAGTTTATGAACAATCCAGAACTATTCTGATTTCCAGTACGGCAAAAAAAAAGCTCCACTTGATAACTTTGAAAGAGGCCAGGACAAATATACCAGAGAATTGCTCACTAGTAATAAATAGAAAATTAACTTTTGGTTTGTTCACCTGATTCTGTGATATTTTTTGTGTTAACTAATGGTAGTCATCCTGGAACTTTATCCTGTAACTTCAGTTTTGATAGTCGTGGTTCAATAGCCTAACATGTATTGGGCACACCACTGCTGAGGAAAGCTCTGTTATATTAAGCTTTCTTTGTGGTTTTGACCCACTAGGTGACTATCATGTTTGCTTGCTTAGACTGCCTGAGGTTATGTGCCTCTTCTGAACAACCTCTGTAGTCTGTGGAAAAGGAAGTTCCAACAGGTGGTGATTTCTGCTGGTCTAGGATTGAAATTCACTATTGAAATTTTATTATCAGATTTTGTGTTAATTTTGTCAGGCCAGCCTAACATTGGAGGCTAAAATGTACTTGTCAGACAGGCACTTGTCTCTGACAGTCTGTGTTTTGTCTATTACCTAGAAATAGGAAAACTTATGAGCAGCCTTTAAAGGTAATCTAGTAAGGGCAGATACATTCCAGATTGTTTTTTCTAATGCTGCTGTATTTCTTCTTAATGCTTTCATGTGTATTATTTGGCATAAGTAGCCATGTGCTATAGATTCTCTGAATGATTGTCCATATGCACATTTCATTGTGGGTATTATACTCACCTCAGCAAGTGTGAGCTTGAAGGCTTTTTATTAGCAGTGCCTGTGACCTCTCTTATATCCTGTCTCTCCTTATACTTTTGCCTGAGTGGCAGTCTGATATGCAGGAGGAGGCCATTTATAGCTATTCTATCTCCCACATGGAAAAGGACAAGGAGGACAGACTTCTGGGAATGGGTTATATCTGGGATTTGACCTTAGATCTTGGGGTGTAAAACTCCTGAAAACGGTAGTAGGGAATCAGAAGTGTTTGCATAATATGGCTTCTTCAAAAGCTGTATTAATTGACCACTTCAGCCAAAATACTCAGTGAGATAAGGACTAAATTGCTTCCTGAAAGGAATCACGATTAGAGCACCTTCAGAGGAGACTCCTGCTGTTTTATCAGCACTTTACCTATCAAAGACATGTTCAGTAGGTCTCAAGTGTAGTGTCAAGAAAATGAGCAGTTACCAGAGGAATGAGCAAACATGGCAAAAAACCCAAGGGAGTTCTCAACATGAAACTCAAGGGCAGCTGATAAAGAACAGACTTTACAGAACGGAGATAGTGATACCACATGTAGCGTCATTGAGTATGTCTCTTACCATAGGCCTGAGGGCTGTACTCTAGTAGGATCTCAAGCACGGGAGGGGAATGAGGATGCCTGGTGTAGGAGACATGTTTTGACAAAATCTCTTAGCATGGAGGAGTTGATTGAGGAGGTCTCGAGGACCAAATTCTGAGAACTTCCTTTGTGCTGTTATGATCTCTAAGACTGAAGATGCAGGCAAATTCAAAAGATCTGCAGAAGGAACAGTAATGGAGAGGGAAGTAGCTGCTTCAGAAAGGTGATGTGGTTTTCAGGATACTTCTCAAGACAAACAGTGCTTTAGCATTTGAACTGCAACAAGTGAGGATTTAACTTAGAAGTACAGAATGAAAAGCTACACGTTCCAGGAGCTGTGAGTGTCAAGGTGCTCTTTCCTGGAAAAAGCATAGTTAGATAAAACAGTTTGTCCAGAGGAAGTATGCTTTTACTCAGGAGGCTGAATTTTGGATGAACCAAGAGTTTTGAGGCTACCCCTCAAACAGATTACTTTTATATACTGTTTATCCCTGGAGACACTGGTGATATTGCTGGACATGACCTTAAGCATGTCAAAAGACTATGGGTACCAGTGATCGAAGTGCCAATCCTTTGTGTTCTGGATGCCTTCATGCATAATGCATGCATTACAGACCCTAGACAAAGTTACAAGGTTCAGTACAGAGTATAGCATGAGTGGAGGGGAGGTGTGTATGGGCAGAATCAGAGAGGCAGAGACAAGGTGAGATGCATGCTGTGATACTGAGGCTAGTCTGAAGTCTTTCTGTAAGTATATTCTTAGTGAAAAATGGGAATGGTTCTGAGTCAGCCACCAGGCAAAGCCTGTTGACAGATGATGCTAGGGAAGCCTGTATTTGTAATGGACTTCATGAAATCTTCACAGCTGCTGTCAGATCATCATTACAACTCATACCAGTAACAAAGGAGAAAATTGCAATGTGCAGTAACCAAAAGGGTATTTAATGCTTAGAGTTAGTATTTTAAAATTGTCAAAGAGACCTTAAAGGATAAGCTGAAGTACTCATCATACTGGGTTTAAAGTTCTGTATTTTGCATTAATGATCTGTCTGGTGAAAGAAAGCTAAAATGTTTTAATAAACCTGTAGATGGTTAAGGTGGGACAGTACCCAAGGTAGAGTGGAGGACAGCATTAGAATACAGAGCAAGCTTGACCAGAGAGAAATTTGTTTGAAAACAGCAAAAGCAATCAGTTTAAAGAGAGGAGATGTAAATTGTACTTAGACTTAAATAAAATGCAGAAATACAGGATGAGGACCACCAGCTGCTAGGAGTTCTGCGGGAGCTGACATGAGTCAACAAGTGCCATGCCATTATAAGAAGGTAAATAATATGGCAGAATCAGATTTATAGCCTACAAGATGCAAAATGATCTTCTTGCCAAGCATTAAAGGGTCTGGGTTTTGCATGCAACACTTCAGAAAAGATGAACCTCTTGAAAAGAGTCCAGGAAAAAATGGGAACATCTGGACAGAGATCTGTGATACATGAGAAGGTCATTGCTTAAATTCCTAAATTTAAAGGAAGGGAAGACTAGAAAGGTGAGAAGGAAAAAAAGTAACAGTGAATGAATAAATGGCTCCTGTGTAAAGGAGAGGACTATCTGACTATTGGCTGTATGAAAAATACAACTGATGTGAGCTGCAGAGAGGAAGAGTCAGGAATAGCCATCATCTTAGCTAGGAATGAGGAAGCGTTGCTGTGAGAAGTTTGCCTGATGTTTAAGAATGCATTAGACAAACATACGTTGTTGACTTTGTGTAAAGACAGGCAAATGAATTTAGATGACCTGAGATTGCTTTTAGCTCTCTGACTCTACCGTGTGAGGTTCCCGTTTTTCTTGAACTTTATGCCATCTGACAGATCTTGAATACCTGTTTCAAGACAAATTGTGCTTTGGTGTTCTTTGAAGACTTTTTGAGATCACAGCTTCATATGTGCTGGGCATATCAGGAGCAGACAAGGATTGCCAACAGTAGAGTGAGTGTATGGACAATCACTTGAAAGAGAAGTCACCGCCTTTACAGAAACAGGCTTTCTTTGAGATGTGTTGTGCATATGCTCATTCCACAACCTGCTCCCCAACTCCTCTTCACTGCAGTCCTCTACTCCTCTACAGTAACTGGATTCTGCAGTTGAGAGGGATCTGAGGTAGGGAAGCCGCACACCAGTCTTCATACCGGGATGCAAAACATGAGGAGAGGCAGGGTGCATTGACGTCGTATGGGTACTGCATCCCCAAAACTTTGAGCATGAGACACAGTGGAATATGCATATGGACAGCACACCTTGAAGCAATCCAGTTGCTGTAAGGTAAGTAGCTTCTCTTTTTATTTTTAAGCAGGAAAAGGTGATTGGTGTCCTACTTGAGAAAGATTATCAGGTGAACAAAAGCCAACTGTTAAGAGCAATATCTCCGTGTTAACTGGAAACCCCCCAAATTGAAATACTATTTTTGAAGACTTGTTAACTTTACAAAATTCATACTAAAGGACATTATATTTCTCAGTTTCCATTCTTATGTCATTGGATTTGTTGTGCCAAATCAAAAGGAACTTGCAGAACTAGCTCGAAAGAAAGGATTTAAAGGAACCTGGGAAGAGATCTGTAACAGTCCTGAGATGGAAAAAGAGGTGCTGAAGGTGCTAGCTGAGGCTGCCATGGCAGGTGAGTAGCTGGGCAGATAGTATTAATCTCATGGACTGTAATGTCTGTGAAACAGATAAGCAGAGGCCTAAAAATATTTCCTTGAGAGTGTATATTTCATAAAACATGTATGAAGCTCCTGAGAAATTGGTGTGTGTGTGTCTAGTGCTCTTCATGATGTCCTGTAGTAGCTTTTTGGCCCTAGCTGCTTGCCCAAAAAAATGTGGGTCATCTGTAGATCCATGTATGTTAGGGATCATACAGTCTGACATGCTATGTGCCAGTGCATAGCTGAAATAAGCCCGTGGTGACAGGGCTCTCCTAGCTTCCAGTGGCTTGCATCTGAGGGGTTTCCTGCAAGCAGTGTCCTTAGTTAATAATTTTCAGTACTTTTCCTCCATTAACTCTTCTAGTCACCTTTTAAAGTTATGTAAGTATTCTGTATCAGTGGCAGAGTTGCACAGCTCAGCTATGTTCATGCGAAGAAATGCCTCGGTTGTTTTAACTCTGCCATCTGCTAGTTCAGTTTCCATCTGCTGAGCTCTTGTATGGGAAGAGCAGTGAAGAGTCACAATGGTAGTTGTGATTTTTTTTTTTCCTTTTCCCCCATTGTCTGTTATACTTCCCCTCTCAGCTGTATCTTTTTTCATGCTAATTGGTCATAGTCTATTCAGCTATGCTGGTGCAGAATTAAACAGTGGCACAGTGACATTTTGTCCGTTCTTTCATAATAATTTCTGCCTTGTTTTTTGCTTTTGACTATTACAAAGTTCTGAGCTTTTTCAGTGAAGCTGTTGGTTATGACCACAAAATGTTGGGTTTTTCTAAATGGCTGTTGTTAAATGTGTTTTTCTTATGCATTCTTCTTTACACTTTTATGCAATGAATGTTTTCTGCTGTGTGTTTTACACTCACTTTGTATTGTGATGTCCTCCTGCACCTCTTTGCAGTTTGTCCGCATCTTTTTTACCCTGGATAACTTCATGCTTCCAGCTATCTTTATCTTGTTAATCTTTGTCTCTCCTCTGTATTACTTGTATTAAACTCTATAAGTGTATTTGCAGACTTCTTTTATAGGAGCATACTCTTACGAGGCATGTAAACTCAGTACTGCAGCAGACTTCTTTTTTGTCTTGCCCTGTGTCTCCAGTCCTTTTTTAATTCACTGCATGGAGCATATGGGCAAAGTCATTCTAAGACGCTGTTGAGATGGAGAGCATGTACAAGGTCGCTTTCCTCTTTTTTTGTGTAGCAGTAGCTATTTAAAAGAGAATTAAATATGTTAAAATTCATGAAGTGGAATATTTGATTTAATCCTGAGGCACTTCTGCACATTTTGTTACTTCATATTTGAAGTTCATTCATTAATTTCAGTCTGGTATCATAGACTTTTAAAGTAATTTAATGAGTTTTAATGCTAGATTGCAAAAAAAAAACAAACAAAACCCCAAGCCCAATGATCTAATGTCAAGGGGAGTAAAGGCACAGGGAAATCTAAAACTGACAGGTAGCACAGAATAATTTCATATTTGTGGTTTTTTTCTGACCAGAAAATAATTTTAATATTGCCCATCTCATGTCTTTTTTTTGTTGTTGTTTTTCATCTATTATGTCTGAAAGCATAATAGAAACTCTTGCAAAGGGTACTGGTTTATGCTAAAGGTGTACCATGGAGACCACTATTGTTTCAGTGAGGGGAACAGCTGCCAAATGAACTTACCTTTCTTGAACAGTTGAGAACTATCAGGGGGAAAAAAAAACAATCCAACCAACCAACCAAACCCCTGTTTTTTCAAGCTTAAGGAATATGGATTTTAAGGCTATTTCCAGAAGATGGGATCATAACACTGATATAACAGTGTATATTTTGAGGCTGTCAGTTCCACACAGTGGGGATTTTCTGAAGTTGAGGAGCAGCACAGGTACCCAAACAGCTGTGGTTTATGTCTGTTTTTATGGAAACTGGAGAGCAGTTTCTGATGGACCCTGTCACTCTACCTGTGACCCACACAGGCTTTCAAAGCTAATGGTGGGTTTGAGGAACACTTCATTTATGTCACATGCTTTTCTGTGTGAGAATACAGTTCTTCCTTTTGTGCACTTAATTATAGAAGCATGCTTACATTTATGTTTTGTATTTTTACAGCTAATCTGGAGAAGTTTGAAATACCAGTAAAAATTCGTTTGAGCCCTGATCCTTGGACCCCTGAGACTGGTCTGGTGACAGATGCGTTCAAGCTAAAACGCAAAGAGCTCACAGCGTACTATCAGATGGACATTGATCGATTGTATGGAAAAAATGTAAAATAATTCCTTTTTTCTGCACCACTTTTCTACAGTGAGCTTGGATCAAATAGGAAATACTTGAATTGCCTGTCTCAGCACTTGAGATCAACACAGGAAAGTACCATTCCTCATTTTCAGCTCAAACCGTTATTTCTGATAGCATCACCATGATGACTGGCAACTTCAGTAAAATGTTATGGCAGCAAACCTGTGTCTGTCTCCTTTTTTCCAGTCTTCTCTGCTACTTTGTCAGTCTGTGGATTTTACCCGAGTCTTTTTGGGAAACCATGTTTCTGAAGCCTCAAGTTTTTAAACACTTATAAATCCTGTATAATGTTTTATTTGTATCTTTAAAATTTGGATGTATATAAAGAGAACTTGGCTATATAAGAAATGGTTATACTGGAGGCCTTTTTTACCTAATTATTTAAAGATAAGAAGGTATTGACGTTGTGACATTATATGCATTGAAAACGCTTGTAACAAGGTCATTGTTGAACAGAGAACCATGTTACTTGCTGCTGTGCTAGTTTTCTGTGTGAATTTGAGGGAGAAAGTGTTTGACATTCCAGCTTCTGTAATAGACTAATATGTGCCTAATGGTTACTTTTATTTTTATCTGAAAATGAAAAGGTGGTCATGGCACAGCTCTGCATAAAGGCAGGTACTCTTGCAGGTATTAGTTGATGCTTGTTTAATGCAAAAGACGCTGTTAACACAGCGGAAGTTCAACCTAAGAATAATCTGTCAAATACAGAAACTCCTTTTTGACATAGCTCATGACCATTTCATCCAGTAGTTGAATTGTGTAAAGCTAATATGAAATCTCAACATTAATTTCACTTTTAACACTTTGTAAGTTTGACAGTGTCCCCTCCTTTTAGCAGAGGGACTGTAACAGCTTTTGTTGTTTCTCCTTAGGTTTGGACATTACACTTGGTTTGCTCTTCCATTGTTTGGCAAAACCCCTGTTCTGCCTAGCTGCAACCCAAATCTAACTGGGGGGATTTTTAAAGTCATAATGACAGTTATGTTCTCGGCTCACACAGTGCCTAGCTGCCCTTTGTGCCATTAAAAATCTCCCTTTAATTCTGTGTTATTTATAATTTTTTTCTTTAAAAACACATATTTGAAGTATTTGTCAGCTGGAGTTACTTATGTTGCTTGGTTTGTTACACCCAGTTCTTACCTTGGGAAGGAGTTTCAATTCCTGTTTTACTATAGATATGTGAATATTGTTTGACAAACTAAGGGGGATCTTTTCCTCTTCAGAGAATGTTTAGATTTGTTTCAGATGTGAATTTTATTTTCAAAATATTTCTAGAAAGACTGTGTTAAGCAGGGTTACATGAGAATGTGAATAGGCATACGTCAGTCAACTTCTTGATGGGGCAAATATTAAAATGACTTTAATTTGGAGATTATTCTTTCATGTGTATCATTTACTTGTACTAAAAATCAGGGTCTTGATGCTTGCTTAAGTACCCAGCTATGGTAGCATGTAGCAATTCTGAATGGCAGAAGCTTTGTTTGGGGAGGGAGTTCCTGCTGTTAGCATTTGTGATATGGGAGCTATGGGAGATGTTTGCTATACATATTTTCATTTTAAAATCCTCTGAAATAGTATTTAACTGTTTCATAAGAGTTGAAAGTTATCAAGCAGGTTCTTTGTATTTTAATTTTGATGACATTACACAGTTTGTATTGTATTTTGTTACATTACCATCTCTCCCACTGCTCATGGATTTCCCCTGCTGCTGTCTATGAAAAACTGTTAACCATTTGGTGAATTCAGGTGTAACTTGTCAAATGGAAATAGAAGCAATAAAAAGAAATTGGAACCACATTCCTGAGATTAATGCCTTGCTAGATCTAGATCATAAATTAAAAACTGGGAAATACAGTTAAAACTAATGTTTAAGTGAAGAATCCAGATTCCAGATGCGGAACTTGCTAAGTCTGTAGGGAAGTGTCACACCATGTATTAGGCATTACTAATATTTCAGTATGTATCTGTGCTGCATCAACAGGTTCTTGAATAGTTCACACTCGGCATAGGATGTACATTGTTCAGATATTTTTTGGTGATTATTTTAGTGAAAACAAATAAATTGCAGAAGTACCATATTTATCACTTGGTACATTGTGCAGCAGATTTAAGAAAATAAATCTTTCCTTGGTTAATTCAGCAATCTGAAGTTAGTATTTTATTCTGCGAAGGGTTTAGATCCACTTTTGGATAAATTGCATAAATGATTTTTTAAATGGTTTGCAAATAATAGTTTTAATTTTTCTTCTAATCCAGTCACAAGATAGGGTTGTTGACTATCTGTGCTTTTGTTTTTACATGTCAAGGGTTTTGTATTTAAAATGGGTATCAATATATATAGTTCCTCTTTCTTTAGATATCAGATTCATTATGGACCTTTATCTCTTCTACAGGATGTGAAAATAAAGCAGTTCATTAACTTTAGTCTGAATGCTGGAAATAAGTTTTAAAACACTTGTATGGGCTTCAAATATTTGAGTGTTTTTTCCTTTGATTTATAAAAAAAGACTGACACTAATAGTGCAAAATTCTGAGCACTTCCATGTTGCATTAAAGCCACCTGTCCTGTGGATTGCCATGCTTCTCACTAATTGACCACGGCTATAATGGCATGGTAAATCACAGCTGCTATTGCTGTTCAGGTGCTGAGCTTCCTTGCTCTTGATAGTCCTAGTGCTGCAGCCTGCTCTTCCTGTCAGACACTTTGGCCACCACTGTGTTGTCACTCAGTGCTCATGTTGCTGAGCAGCAAGGTGACTTAAGGAGAGTTTGTTGCAACCCTGCATGGATGCAGTACATGTCAACCAGGAACTTACCTGGTCTATTTTTTTTTTTTACCTTTTTTCTCTATATCTTCCCATGCCCAGTGTAACAAGAGCAGAAGTACCTGCTGGAATGTGTAGCATGTGTCCCAAAGGCTGTGGAGTAAATTAGGAATTTAGAGCACGCTTGGGAGTCATGATCTCCATCACATAGGGGATTTTGTAGTGGAAAGAGCTGCAATTTTTAAGTCTTTCTAGAGTTCAAACTAGGAGCATATACCTCACCTGAGTGGCCCCAAAAAGGGGGGATTTTTAATAAAGCTTTTATATTTATAAACTTCCCAGGACTCTGAGTCATTGGAATTTGTAACTACGTACTCTGTTGTGAAAATTTACATATTTCATTATAAAAAATGACCGAGAAATTCCAAGGGTGCTGTGAATCTTCTTCAAATTCCTACCATTATTTAAGAATATCTTGGGACTTTAGGCTAAATTCAATGTGGATGTCATAAGCATTCTTTGCAATGACTAGTATTTCTGGAGTAGGTTAGGAAGTTAAAAAATTACATGCCAAAAGTCCTTGCAAACTTATTGATACTGCTGCTGCAGTTTATACACGAGCAGGACTATATCTCGGTGAGAAGCTGCGTATCGGTAGTAAAACGTTTTGCTGAAACGAGCAAAAACCCATGTGCAGCTAAAACTAAGACTATGCCTTCATCCTACTGGTTTTATAGATAGGATGCAGAAACAGATATGGAATTGAAACTATACATAAAAAACATCCTGTAAAGCTTGTAAGTTGGAGCAGAAATCACTATAGGACCCAAGACTCCTTTGCAATGACCTTTATCCTGCTAAAATTCACAAGCTTTTATTCTGTACTAAAACTACATCTCAGTGATGCAATGCAGCATTTTAATTTTTATTAATGTGATATATTAACTACTTTGGACTCTGTGTAAAACTGCGTACATCTGTTTCTTCACTGGTAAAAGGAAAAATCTCCAACTTGCATACGCCTTGGACCAGGCTGAAAAGTTAATTGAATGACCAGTTGTATGTTATTGAATTGGTTATTTAATGAAAACTTATTTTTAGTGGGATCTTGGTTGTTATGATGAACTGCCCGAACATTGTATATCCCTAATTGAGTTATGTTGTATTAATTATTTATTTGTAATTGGGTACCATGTTACAAAAATAAAATTAATTTCACAAATCGGGTCCCATGTGTCTGTTTTTTTAAGTGGCATTTTGTGTTTATCTGTCTGAGCCTACATGTTATGTAAGTTACCGAGTTTAAATCATATTAGCTGAATACATGGCTGTTTTAAGAAGGGTTGTGGGTTAGGACAGTTCAAAAAGGATCCTGTCTGATGGCGGGCGTGTCCTCTTGGTTTGCTCTCTGCCTTACACTGCTGGTAACCCTTTGCAAAAGGCTCCATTCCTGCATTGCTCGTCTTTGGTACCTTGGCACTTTGCTATGTAAACAGCCACGAGCTTGTGTGTTTCAGAGAGTGAATGCTCTGGTTGATTACTTGGCCATTTGTGCTATACAGGTATTGCTGATGTGTTGTTCTGTAAATACTGTTGTTAGTGAGTTCTTGTATCTGGACTGGGTGCTGGACCCTTATGTGCTGGGCTTGCTAATTCAGCAGTATACAGCCTTTTGAATCTCATTTCAAGTCTTGTCCAATATTCAAAATAAATGGGACTGTTTCTGGATGAATGCAGGAACACCAGTTATCAGGTTAACCTGGGTCACCACTACAGTAAAGTTACCATTCTGTTTTGTCTGTTTTATTTGCATATGGTCGATTTACCCTTTTTTTTTTAAGAGCCCCAACTACAGTAATACTTTATGTCAAGCTGTAACTTTCTGATATTTTTTTTTAACTAAGTGCACTAGGGCTTACATTTGGTGTGTAATTTTCTGTTTAAGTTTGTGGCTGAAGGGGTCTTGATCATTTAAGGTTTTGCTTACAAGCACACAGTCGCTGGTAACGATCCAACCTGGAGGCATCACGGTTTACAGATGCCTCTTTTTCTCCTTGTTTTTGAGGGGGTGTGTGTGTCTTTATAGGTTCCCCAGATGCATAAGGTCTGCATAGTGCTGGCCAAACATCAAGCCTTCCCTGCGGCATAGCTGATCCTTTGTATCCCTTTCATCAGCCATGAGAAGGCTTCAGCTTCCTTTTAATTTTCAATTACATTCAAAGTTTATTTTCTTAAAAAATACTGAGTTTTTATAGACTAAAAACTTCTCTCTTCCCCCCCCCCCCCCCCGATTAATTTAGGGCAATATGACACATTTTAATTGATTTCCCCTTCCCCTGCCCTTAGACATCCATAGCTACTAAAATGCCTTTAGGGGGCTCCTTAATAAAATAAAAAGTAAACAAGTTCTGAACTATTATAGTAGGTAATTTGTGACAGCAACTAATTTCAGGAAGGATAAGCATGTAACCATTTTTGGTTTATTTACTTTTAGCCTTATTTTTCAGAAAATATTATGTTAAGGAAGCAATTAGAGAGGCACAGGATCCAAAATAATAGACACAAATTACAAATGAAAACACTGGAGTCCTGGATTGTTGTCTACAGCAGAAAAGTCTAGGGGGGCAGATGAGAGATTTAATATCTTTTAATGTTCCTGTGTGTATGCAATTTCTATCTTGTCAAGAAAAGTTAAACTACCTGCTCTTAAGTGCCACCACATGGTAATAGCTGAGAAATGACTGCAGCCAGAGGGCTGCAGCTGGGTGACCAGGCCCTGCCTTTGTAAAAGGGGAGAGCACGTGAAAGGTGAAGGGTGTGGAAAATTACGGTCTTTCCTTAGAAATCGTATGCGTGAAGTGGATTTGTCATCCCTTGGCAAGCTGAGGGAGCAGGTGATGGGTCAGCATTTACTTTGTGCTGGGAAGACAGTGGTAGAAATACTTAGCTTTTGGGAATGAAAGGGTTGTGTAGTTCTCACCTGCTTTCTGAGATGACAGTGAAAATTGGGAAATTAACGCGCGTTGCCAGGAGGGGTAGTTTTGGTACATGGATAACTGAAGCCAAACTCTGGTCCAGAACTGATGTTGGTGGGCACATCTGGATGGGATCCAGCTACTGTGGCTGCAGGGACAGCAAACGCAGGTAGCTCAAACCTGTTAACACCAGTAACTTTCAGCAAATAGTCTGTAAGACTTGAATCCCAAATTTCATTCTATACTGATTTAAACTGAGCATTTAATTCCTGCTTTACAAGGGAACCACTGCTCAGCTTTACCTGTCTGTCTACCTAACATCAGGATGTTGCAGCCTTTTAACCACAGGGCTGGGTGTTGGACCACCTGTGTTTCCACGTGGTCCTGAATGGGCATCCCCTAACTGCTGCTTGGTCCCCAGTGTGAGACGGCTCATAGAAAAGCAAACACTGTGTCCCTGGTGGGGCAGATGGGTTTTGTTTGCTCTGAACACAGGTGCCTGAAGGAGTGGTGTGGCTGTCCATAATAACATATTCTTTGCATGTAGCACCAAAACGATGCTTTGTTTCAGGCTGCAGGGTTATGCAGCACCGCCAAGTGCAACAGCAGGAAAAAAGGCACGTGCCATGT